AAGGAAGGAATCTCCCCATTTCACTACCTCGGGACACACCCGATAGCGTACAGCTCCGCCACGGAGCTATCCTGATGCTGTACCAGTAACTCGAAATACTTCATAGGTTCTTACTACCCCATCACATTCACAGCCATATCGTGCAGAATATGGATAAACTACTTCGCTCCCATGTACGCAAGTGGCCGCGGCTACACAAACTTACACCAGTTACCAACTTCCATTCTACTATCGAAGACTTAGGTCTCGATATACCATCTTCATTCACCATAGTCCCCTTTCTTTAGAATTCTCGCCTGGCGCGCCATCTGTCGAATTCCCATCCTATCATCAATTGGCTGATCTGAAATTTCGTCGCGGCCTTTGTCCATCTTATCGTCACAGATCCTGTCTTCGTGTCCGGACGTCTAGTCCTCGACAAATGCAAATATTGCCTAGGGAAATTTTTTGCTGCATAGTAGCCGGCTGTTAGCTTTCCGGAACTATGTCCATCCGTTATTGTTAGCTCAGCTGGCGTGCACCTATTGTGTTTTTGTTTTCTCAATTATTGCGGCACAGCAGTTGTGTTTTCAACCTCTAACTAAGGGGCATAATGATGATATTCTCGACAAAGCTTCTGCAAAAGAGGCTTGCCAGAACAGCGTTTTCATATTCTGTAATTTGTTCCCCGCTCTGGATCATTACAACTGCATGTTCAGCTCACCATTGGCTCAGCCAGTCAAGATCTTTCCTTGGCTATTCATACGAACAGTTTAACTGCGAGCGCGGGTTCCTTTCAACGAAGACTCGCCGAGCCAGAGGCAGAATATCCAAACATTCCTTCTTCCTTAACGCTCCCACATGTTCTTCAGTCATATGCAGTCACACATGATGTTCGCCGTAAGAGGCATAACGACATTACAAAACTGGTTGTGGTTGCAATCCGCCGTCATGGTATTCAGATTACACCTGGACCCAGAATTTCCACCATGAGCTCCCATATCAAACCGGACCGCATATGTTATGGGCAATTTTATTTGTGATGCATACCGCATGCCACAAACTTACAAACCGAAACTAGACAGCTATGGTGTCTCTGCGTTTGCAAAGACGATCCCCAGATATGTGGGGTCACAACTTCTGCAAGTGTGCAACATTATTCATAATCCCCGTGCTTTTGAACAACTGCAAGTTTATTTATCATGCTATGGCAACGCATCTCAAGTCCCTGAGTCTTACGGGTCGACATTACGGATCTGCACATTTTCATTATTCGCGGCTCACTCAGTGTGTATGACGCGTATATCCGCGGAGTCTCCTCCCTACAGTCCACACATAAACACACTAAATTAGTTTTCGATTTCCCCCAGTCGGCCAGTGCCCGAGTGGTATGCAAGCCTGGCTTGCAATCATATGGTCACGGGTTCGATTCAGCGTCCTCGCGGTATACTCAGCCCACGTACAACTGATGGTGGTCACGCGGCATCAAAGCGCCGTTACAGCATACTGCCGACGATTTATCTACTTATTATAGATATCTTTTTTCCAGTTTACTCTCTCTGTATTTTAACGGGGCATTGCCCTATTTTGACAATCTGCTGTAATCCCCGACCTTGGCCTACACTACAAATTGTCCAAAGCAAATCTCACGAACTGCGAATTCTTCGACACGTCTTGTACCAGAGGAGACCAGATCCTCCGATTTCAAGATCTTAGACCTTTAAATGTCTTTGCTACAGTGAGGCATCCGTAATTCGATCGATCAATGGACGGGATCCATAAGGTTTACCTGGTGAACCTTTAAGCAGTACAAAATTAACTGATCCTCCTTTAGAAGTGGTCAATTTCGAAGGTTTCACTTTACTTCTTGACCACGGCGCATTAATCATGTTCCCAACGAATCGGTTCGAAAGTTACTAATTTTCGCTAAGTTAACTACAAAAGATAGGACAGTATCAGCTGATTGCGGTGTGTACTACCCTTCTCATGAACTGAGAGTATCTGTATCGTTGTTTGCCATCGGCTTGTCTAGTGAAAGTAAATCCATTGACAACTAAATTGTGTGTTGTCATTCCACTTCGCCTAGTGAATTGGATTCCAGTCGACGCACTCGGCATTTGGCTTTAGATCTTGTGGAGTTGTACACTACCGAAGTCGAATTAATTACACTGGTCAGCTAATGTTTACATAAGTCATATTTCCGAATTAGAATGAGACTTTTTATTGAGTTTTATGTACAAAACACGTGGATGCCAGCCAACTGATGAAATTGGCTTCCATCTTTTTTATTTTGCAATAAGTGTTCGAAGTAGGCTCATATTAACTGCTTCCTAGGATATTTTGCCTGTCTCTTGTACAACTGTTTTGGATTTTCTCCTGGATATGATCAGTATTGGTCAACTCGCGTTGTATTGCACCGAATCTTCATGACATCTTTGTCCTATTGTTGCGATGTTTTTGTGCAAATTTTCGCCATCTCCATCGCTAACTATACCACAGTTAGCAGAATGAAATTAAGTGGGAACTAAAGAAAATTGATCTTCTGATCCATATTGCAACTAGGTTTCGCACCCCACATCCTCAGACCTGCGAATAACCCTTAGGCGAGTACCTTAAGTGGGTCGTTGCCGTTTTCGCTGGTACATCGTTTCTACGCTATCTACTGTGGATATATCAAGTTTAGAAATATTTTGATTTGTGCTTAAGTGAACTCATTTTCAAGGTCACGGAGGCCATTTTGCTCCCCCAGTTCTCCGAAAAAATGAGTCGAAATGCTGTGCACATCTCGTGCTTTGTAGTTTTTGCTCATCTAAGACTAGTTGTGAAGAAAATCGCGAAATTTTTCTTCGTTAACCGGATCAAAATCGTGATAATTCTCTCCAGCCATATTCGATCGTTGCTTAAAGATGCAGAACTGTCTACACGAATCATATCTATGCAGTTTATGTTTCCATTTGCGAACGTTAGCACGTTTATATTGTCTTAGTTCGTCTGCAGTCTATAGTGTAAAATACTAACAACGCACCCATCCGGGTACCAAAACTTATCTTGACATGAGCTGTAGTCTTTCATCAATTCGTGGTAGTTTTCTGCCCTAAAATTACCGTGAAAGTATGTAGACATCATTTTTTCTTGTTTGTGTCACATCACCGTGCAGTACATTTGAAGAGGTCTCGGATCTGGGGATCTACAGTACTCCATCTTTAATCTTCTTCACCAAATTGAGGGTTTTTGACGTAGTTATCGAAAGGTTTGCGAAACTCAGTCTACGGCGTTCATCATAATCTTTATCAAACCTACTTTGAGCTTATTTTCTGTGTTATTATGCGTCAGTCCGTGGCCTTAAGGATCACAAGCCTGTTTACTAATCCTAGGGCGCGGTTTCGAGCTTGTGTAGGGGGCCAGGTGACGCTCGCAGTATTCTTGGCCCACGTGTGACTGGTGGTTTTCGCGCGGCAGCGAAGCGTGGGTACCGCTTACCGGGATACTACTGATGCCTCTCTTCTCAGTAGTTTTATACGGTTAATAATCGACATCTGATTGCCAACCTAGACGTTGGGTCCCTATGTAATCTCTAGAACTTTCGGATGATCGCCGAGGCATTGCGGCTGAAGGGGAACAAAACAAAAGTCTCAGAGCTTTGAAAGGAAAATTGCCTGCTAGCCAACATTTCACTGATATGCTGATATTTCGCCGTCTCCAAAGGATGGTTGGGCCTCTGTGATACCGCACAGGCCTTTTTGATACGCGAGGTAACTTGGTCAATGATTTTCTGCGGGCACAGCAAGTAACAATCACGCGGGAGATTGGAAAACCACAAAAACGATGGAGGACAGAAACGGGTGCAGGCATCATGTGCGTGATCAGACAGCATGACACGATCCCCATGGGAGGAGGTGAAAGCAGATTGTAAGCGACGGACGGTAGCGGGTCTAAGCCAAGGAGAACAGAGAGGGTATTGATCAACAGGGCAATAAATCGGACTTCTTTCTCGGTGCATTTGGAAGTAACCCCAGATAGAAAGACGCAACCACGATCAAACACATCAAGCGCCATAGAACAAATCCGGGTTGATCAGAATGCGACTTAATAAAGTGAAGACACCGGATCAAACAAGCAGGACGGATTCACTAAATCGGGAAAAAGTGACGCATCAAGATGACGAGTAGTAATTTTTTTACTTGGTGCGTTGCGGGACGGAAACATGACCTATATATGTGTCTGCGCGAGAGCTTGGTTAGTCGTTGCCGCGTGCGATAACGATTGCGTTTCCTTGCCCCTTTCTTGTTGCTACACTGTGACCATCAGTGGTTACACAGTTGCCAAGCAACACCATCGTGCTGTCGGTATATTTCTCCATTGAACCATATACAGTTGCCAAGGTAAGTGAACCGGTCGACCACTTCCACCGACTGCTCACTGAAAGCTAAAACAGTGGCGTATCGGTCCAGTCTTGCAACAATACTTTGCACTTTGAACATGCAAAGCACCTACCGAGACGTGCGGGCTAGCTTATGTCTGATGGTCACTCACTATGAGGGAAAACCGCATGCCGAAAAATAGGGCTTCTCCTGTGATGTCCAGTACTCGTTGTGTCGCCTCGCGATTGTCAACTGGTGACGCTTGTTCCTCCACGTGACCCAGTTTCGCAGTCGAATCTTCTTTCTTACTGAGCATTACGCTGATCTCATGTGGTCTTGGTCGAAGAACATTCTGGAGCCATGCATTTTCGCCCCACTCTTTTCTCCTCGATCAGCCTTCTTCATACTTTGTTGTGTTAGACGCCTCGAATCGGTCACCATCTACTGAAATCTTTGGAAGCCGAATTTTCTTCTCTATTTTTAATCACGCGAAACCTATATTTGTCAGATGGACGTTTTCGGATGCGAACATTTACTTGGACCTTTTGAGAAATTGTTATCACATCATATCGTTCGGTTGCATGCATGAGTGTTGTGTTCAAATGGTGCAAACATGCATCTTTTGCTTCATGCAGCTATCTCATTTCTTTCTCTCCACAGGATCATTCAATCGATGATGAAACATTTTACATTGGTTACTCCATCGTTGCAATCGACAACATCAAAAAGCTCATTCATTCACCCTTCCCAAACGTATCCCTTATGAAGGAGCAGTGTCAACCTTCCTCCAACGATGATCTTCATTCGTTGTTGCAAAAAGTTTGCATTGTGGCCTCTTGGCTTCCTCACGGTCTGGGAAGCTGGCGTGTCGTCACCGGTCTCGCAGCTGTTCTCCCTTTGCCTTGGCCTCAGAACGTTGTAAACCTGGTGGAAACGGAAATCGACCACTTCTCGGTGTCTGGATCTCAAGAGAGAGAAATCACAAATTTCACTCGGCTTCGGCGCCTACTTAACCTATCTAAAGTATACCACATTCTCCAACGGTTGGTCCTTGAAAATTAATCATCCACTATACCACTTAGGTATACTTATTATCTTCCATACTTTCACTTATTCTGTCACGTTCGATAGCTGAATGAACTAGCTAGCAACTGGAAGTGCTCTCCATGTGCGTACGGCGCAACACATTGCACGAGTTGGCGAAGTCCTACACGACTTCCCCAAAATCCACCAAACACAAGTCAGTTGAAGCCACTTCCTGGTACTCGAAATAATTGCGGAGTTCCTTTGAATGACTCCGGCATACACACGTTCCGGATTTGGTTGAATGAGGCAATGACGTCACATTCACCATCCAACTGACCGAACAGGTCTTTCTACTTATCACGCCAAAAAGCGTACATTTGCAATGTTGTCTTTTATACCCTTGTACGCACATTGATTTTAACAGACAACGATTTCTTTTCCTCTGTTGCTCCACAGTTATGAACTTGAGCATTTATACTTGACGGAGGATGACCTCGCTGACGCTTCGGAACTGCTCAAGCGTGCAGTGTATCGTATTTTCCTGCGTTCACGCGACTCTCCGGACAAGGCATTCCGACCAATCGATGAGGTGGCTCTTAACGATGCACGTTTGTTGACTCAATTGCTCATCGATCGGCCAGTTTGGGAGCTTTATTTCACTCGTCTCCGTGTGGTTTTGGCACTTGAGTTCGCCCTCAGTCCAACAGCCGACGATTTATTTACCTCCTCAAGCATCGAACGCCGCTTGGCATATGCCCTGGCTGAATTTGATGAAGCGTGTTACAGTTTCCCTGGCTCTTCTGTTCGCCGACTTCGCTTGAGAAAGCATCTCGTCGCAGTGGCATTTCAGTGGATCGGCGTGACCAGTCAGTTGTATCCAAGTGCTTCGCCAGAGGTACTATTGCCCATCTCTTTTATATCCGTACATACCGTAGTGACTACGCAGTTCATAAGGCAACATAACAGCAATTACTAATTTGTTGCCATCTATTCGCACTACACCTCCTCCTATGAATTCGTGAGGTCCGCCAAGTAAACCATTCCAATGTGGTTAGCTCACTGTCATGACGAGATTACAGCTTACCGCGATGCGATGGTATATGTGCCTCAGCAATCCATTGAACTATCCGTGTGGTCCCTCTTGCACTTTCAGAGTCACTTATATTCCAATGGTCAATGGTTTGAGACCAAAGCAACTCTATCTCTTTGCCCTCCATGTTGAGGTTTGTCTAAAGGTGGCTCCTTACTCCTATATGTAACCCAGTGCGAAACGCCGGCTGCATGATATTCAGTTTTTGAACCAAATGCTCTAGTTGTGAGGGATAAACATTCTCTTGTCTAGGCCTAGACAACTTGACAGTATCCTACTCACGCAATCCAATAAAATTCTGATAATTTCTTGATATTCAGGCCATCGTACAGGATGATGGTGCCCTATCTGCCGCTTCGAGCAAGGTGGATAGGGGCAAGGATGCTACTGCTCAGGTCTTCCCATCTTTTCATTCTCCCTCCTACGGTTTTCATCCTTATCGTCTTGTTTCAACTTATATACATATCTTTATTTCTTGCCGATACGAGAGACTTCACGCATAGGGAAATATCAAGTGGTGTGCAGTTTTCTCCACAAATGGTGTTAACACATGGACCATAGGGGATTCACTACAACAGTTGGAGTGGTATATTATGTGCAATGACAGTGTCACATGTTCATGATGTTCAGGGATAAGAGCAGATAAATGTATTGGGGGAAGATTCTGTTAAGGGGTTTCCTTCTGTTTATGCATGGGCTTTCGTTGCTTGCCTCCGCTGACTGTTGTCCCATCGAAGTAAACTGGTTCGGTCTAAACAAAAAAAGGCAATGAGACTTCACTGGCCAAGTCAGTATTTCAGCCTCCCGCTGACTTTCATTCCTACTCTGTCGGTCGTTTACAACGTGTTCCGAGCTTCCATTTAACACTGGACTTATGTGTAAAACAATAAAACGGTAATATCGTGGTAGGCAAGAAACAGCTTCAAAATGTTTGACAACATTAATAAATAAAGTAGGAATATCTGGTAAACAATGAGCAATGAATTTATACAGGCTAAGAAGCAATGCTGCAAATGTCCCGTTGGGTGATGTTGCAGGGTTTTCGAAAAATAATATTGCAGTGCGTTATTTTTGTTTAAAAAAGGGACTTATCTTTTTGTTTCGCTGTCGTCCTGCGATCCGTGTAGTTTCACTGTACAAGCATGTAACAGCAAATAAATCCAAGGTATATTCCAGTAGTGGGATAGATATTTAGTACTAGGTACCAAACTGTAGGTGATTAAGTAAGTCATTCAATCCTCTTTTAAGTATGGATAGTGATGGTGCAGTAATGTCCGATTCTGGACGATCATTCCACGAATGACACACGCGGACGGAAACCAAATTCCCGCGGCAATCCAGGCGGCTATACTGTTCTGTCACTTTTAGTGAGTGACCTCTCAACTTGGTATTACTGCTGATTTGCACTAAAGAGCGGCACACATGGTGTGCATCGTGCAGAATTAAGTGCGCCATTATCAAGTCGCCTCGTAAATGGCGGTAACGTCCGCTGAATACCCCTGACCGTTCCAACCTCTCCTCGTATGGGAGATGGTGCATTTCAGTAACGCAATAGGCCCACATGTTGGTTACCAGTTTTGGGTTCTTTCGCGGATTGCCTGGAACTACCCAGATCATCCTAAACCAGTACACCCAAATCACATTCGGTGGCAGCTCGCTGCAGCACATGCGTTCCGAGCCTGTAACGGTGGTTGCTCTGGTGTCGTATGGAGAGCACCTTGCATTTACTCACGTTGAATTACGGTGAATTTTGGATGGACCACTAGATCACTCTGAAGCAGTTTCTGGTCGGTATTCCTCCGAACCTTGACGTCGTTGGCAAACAGCAGGAAGTTAGATGTAATCACATGTGCGAGATCATTGGTAAATATAAAAAACAATCAGGGAACCTAGCACTGAGTCTTAAGGCACCCCACATTCAATTTTTATGGGGTCAGAGAAGGAGCTCCGAACTATGACAACCAATTGCCGCTGAAGGTGGTTGGCGATCCAGCTTAGAGAAGGGTCGCTGATCCCGTAACGCTGTAGCTTGGAAAGGAGTATTCGATGATCTAGACGGTTGAATGCCTTCGAGAAATCCAGGCAGATTGCCTCAACATCCTCTCCAGCATCAGCTGACTGGGTCCACCTACTCAGTGCTATTAGCAAATTCGTTGTGCAGAGATTGCTTTCGACGCAAACCGTGCTGCTCAGAAATAACGATAGAGTTTTCCACCAGCGCATCGACTAAGATGGATTCCATCACCTTTGACAGTATAGGGAGAACGGAAACCAGGCGGTAATTTGAAGTCTTGATTCTGCTTCCACCTTTGTGAATGGGTGTTATTATTCCAAGCTTCCAGATGATAGGAACTTGGTTCTGGTCTAAGCAGTGATGGAAGTCCGGAGCCAATGGCTCTGCCAGTTGACTTGCTGCTACTCCCATTGCATCTGGGTGAATAGTATAATCACCCTGGGATTTGTACTTGCGTAGAGTGATCAGCTTCTGCAACACAACTCCGGTGGTAAAGGAGATATGAGTGGATCCCGGCGGCGGTGCGGTAAAAGCTGGTGCATTTTATGATGATAATAACCTCTTGAAGGTATAGGCCTATTGCATCCGTAGCGCGTTTTCTGCTTCCGTAGCCGTTCATGTTGGGCCATCAGCCGTCGTGAGTGGCGGAACTCATTGCCTCACCTTCCGTAGACCATTGACATGCCTACACAGCAGTTTTTGATTGGCGCTGAAGGATTTTGCCATGTTCTGCTGATGCGCGGCTTTGTCCTCTCTGAGCAGTTGAGTGCAGTGGTTTCGTTGGGCTACGTAGTTATCACAGTTTTCTGGTGTTGGGGTAATCTATACACACGCCACGCTGCGTTACGTACTGCCAGCAGTTTTGGAGTTCTGTTCCTTACGTAAGTAACTGTTTTAGACCGTTTGTGAACTTTTGTCTCTGAAGCATCTGTAACCAGCCGATTGAATTTGTTTACGAACTGGAGCCAGGCTACCTTCGTGGGGTCTTCGGCGAGGAATGACCAGGTTGTGGCAATGACGAGATGGACTAATTGGTCGTTACATGTGATGGTTCGCGCCGTCTCATGGTCCGCATCTCGATATTCTGCATAGGTGAGACAGGTTACCCAGCATCCCCTTGTTAAATTTCGCTATGGACGAAATTTTGAAAAGTGCTCTGGAGAACTGTGAGACTAACGGCGTCAAGCTGCTTCCGGGGGATCGCCTTCGGGATGTTCAGTATACAGACGAATCTCCGTAATCTGCAATTCCTCACCGGCCGCCCGAAATGTCCTGTGTAGGTTGGAGGTGTCTGTCTCCCAGTTTGGAATGACTGCTCCATTGAAGTGCAAGGTCTTTCTGCAGGACTGTCTGGGCGCTGCTCCTAACCTTACCCTTTCAGGTCAGTTATTGGAAGTGATAGACATGTACCTTTACTTCGGAAGCTGCCTCAGTACTAGTGGTTTAACGGATGAGGTCTCTTTACGCGTCTCCAAGGCTCGGGTTATTTTTGCCAATCTCTCCATCTCTGCCATCAAGGCGATCTGAGTCTATCGCTGAAAGTCCGTGTTTGCAATGCCACAGTGAGAGCAGTTCTGCACTATGGCTGCGAAACTTAGCCTGTTCGTGTAAAGGTGTTGAGGGACTGTCTGATTTTGTTCACCACTGCCTTCGGAGCATTGCTGGTGTACGATGGCAACATCACACTAGGAATGAAGAATTTCGACGAAAGATTTTCAGATCAGACAGACTTTGCCGGCCACTGAGCAGCATAATTTCTCTGTGCAGACTTCAGTGGCTTGGGCATGTTTTTCGCATGCCTACTCATCGCTTACCTCGCCGTGCCCTCTTCGCACGCAGAGACGTCGGCTGGAAGCGAAAGCAAGCTAGCCAACGGATGACTTGGGTCAGGAGCTTGAAGGAGCTAACGTCAAAGTTAGCCGTGATCGGGCGTTGTCGGCTCCCTGGCTGTAGTGTGAAGGATCCGGAACACGCATAGCTGGAAACATTCTCAGACATGGCAAGAAACCGTGCGCAATGGCGGACTTGTGCTTCTCTATTTCCATGAACACCGTTTTTCCCTCTCTCTTCATCTATTTATTGTATTTTCCATACGTTATGGCACTATACCAATTGTTCTCTTGGCGATGCTGAATATATTCCGTCTAGTAGATGAATTCCAATGGAAATAATGACATAATTTACTAGGAATATTAAAAATTTGCCTATTGCTTTTTGTACTTTCAGCTAGCACTTACTTTAGGACACCTAAAGTGTGGAAGTATGGTGAAAATCCCTTGCACTTATGTGAACAATAATCCACAATGAAAATGAACAAACCAAATAGCACCAGACTCTGGTGCTAGGTACGGTCAGAGCGAAATGTGCATTATTTGATGTGTCAGATCAGCGAATGACACAGATGTAACAAGAAAAAGCATAGATGTTTGCGAGGGCTAAGTTCCAAATTGTCAAACAAAGTCTATAACGTGTGATATAGCGCAATATTCGCATTAACTGCAACTCGCAACCTTAAATGCCTGAAAATAGGATTATTTTAGGCTTATCTGGGCATGTCCGACAGAACTTGTAAGGACTATGCCGCAAGAGTGGACACCACGGTCATATTGCATATATCTACTAAGGTGAATCCAGTCTAGAGCTGAAATACAAACATTTATGTTTATTAATGAGCAGATAAGAATAAGCTAATCAGGAATCCATTTGGAGGGGACATTGATAGGTCGGGTCTGATCGGCTGCGGATCCATAGGATCAGGTTCCTTAAGTAATAATGATTGTTTATCCTCACA